GGGGTAATTGAACTTAAGACTTATGGTATATAAGTAAATGCTCTTAACCACTTGAGTTAAAAGCCCCTTACAATAGTCGAAAGTTAAATAGGATGTGTGAGTCCTTTTCAATCCAATTACATTAGAGATGCTTAATGTATATTGATTCATTCCCTTTAATATCATGAATATTCTTCGATAATAATTATCGATAATTTTTCTTTATTGATATTCAAGAAAAAAAACATGTAACTTTGTTGAAGTTTCTCTTTGATAAAATAGTATTTATTAGCCTCCTCGTGAGTGTCTTAAAATGATATCAGTCTATATACCAAAATGTACTGACGGATTTATGAGCACTACATGGCATGGAAGATGCAGATGGGAGAGACACTGTGACAAGCAATGCAAGAAAAGGGAAAATGCAGAAGGTGGAGCATGTGAACATGGTAAATGCAAATGCTTCAAGAAAAGTAACATGTATTAACCTTGGTGGATCTTAGCTAATATATTATGACTCCAAAAATGCGTCATCAGTTTATTCGACAGTCCTTTTTTATTGAGGGATTCCTCAAATATATTTGAGTGATCTTTTGTGTGGTGCATTAGGTATTTTACTTCAATAATCCAAATTATTTATTTTTAAATCTTCATATTTAAAGAATTCCTTAATTGAATCTCTCTTACTGTCCTAAGATTTGTGTTTGGTCTAGCTGTACATCTCCATATTATACTGAATGCTTGGTGTATCTTTTTATAATTAAGTAATGTATTTGCTTCTATAATAAAATAATATGAATTTGAGTTTAATGTGGATGATCATGTTTTTTTTTGGATGTTGAATTGGATTTATTCCACGTTTTGCCAAAATTAAATATTAAAAAAAAGAAAAAAAAGAAAAAAAAAGAAGAGGGATGTGAGGTGGCAAGTACCGAGAGAGAGAGAGGGTGAGGGTGAGGGTGAGGTAGAAAGCTATTATTTCATGGTCTTTGTCCTTACCTGACAAAAAAATAGTTACTACTGCTATGAAACTTGAAAGTTATCAAGCACATACCTAAAAAATTGATTAAAATGGAGCTATCATCTCATAGAAACCCATCATGATTAAAATTTAGCTAAAAATCGGAAATTTAAAAAGAGAAATTGACAATTCCCTTATTTGGTGCACACCAAATGACCACTTGGGGCTTGAAGTGTATGTTGGGCACTCCTACAATAGTGTTTGTGTGCGTATATGAGAAATATTAATAATTAAAAAAAAACTAATAATAATAATAATATTATTATTATTATTATTATTATTATTTTGCATATCTCAAAAGATAACAAGAATAACTCTTAAATGGATGGGTAAAAAGAAAGAACACAATTTTTACCCAAATAGAATTTGCGGTGTGCATATGTTGGGGGTCCTGCAGAGTCATTTTATAAAGACAGTTTTAATGAAGAGGTGCCCATAAGCCCTTTTCTAATAGTCGAAAGTTATTGTACAAAGAATTTAAGTAGGATGTGTGAGCCCTTTTCAATCCAATTACATTAGAGATGCTTAAATGCATATTAACCCTTCCTTCCCTTTAACTTCATGAATATTTTCCGACAGTTATTATTGGTATTTATACTCAAGAAAAGCCATGTACAATTTATTCATATAAGTGTAACTTCAAAGTATGTCCACCTTCTAATCTTCATTACCTTCGCCGTCTTTGCAAATGCAAAATTATTACCATATGGTGTTAAACTGATTTATGATTAAACTTTTGTTAATTACGTTCTTCTCTTTCTAATGACAATGATATCAGGTTTTACACAAATATCTGCCAAATTTATCCCATGAAATGGGAATAGCACTATTTTGTTATCTCCAATACTTTCACGTGGCATAGCATTATTTGCCAGGATCGTTGCAACCAAAATTTTCTCCATGGAAAATGCAGGTGGGATATACACTATAACGAGCAATGCAAGAGAAGGGAAAACGCAACACGTGGTGGAGCTTGTATGCATGGTAGATGCAAGGAGCTAACTAGAGAGACAATTAAGACTCCAAACCAAACCTTGGTAAAAACTCTACAAAACTGTCATGAAGAGTTTACTAAGGGCCTGGACCAATCAACCGATCAATTCTTAATACCACAAATAGACTCTCCTGTTTCTGGTTGTTTTCCTGTTGAGTTTAGGCTGATCATGAAGAGTCCTGGTCTGCAACTCTTATCAACAATGAAACTCTCATAAGTAATCATATAAACTCTCACGCCATCATTCCACTTTCCCATAAATCTAAACTGGCCGCAACCAGAGTAGGCCTTAAAACCAAACCTTGCCTCTTAAGCAACCCAGCATATCCCCAGCAAATGCAAAAAAGTGGACATGGATATCCAGAATTTATGCACTAGGGTACCCAAATACATGTGTGTGTCTGTATCCCTTTGTATTACTTCTTCAAGAATCAATTCAAAAAGTGAAACCGTCACAACTACGAACATGAAAAAATTGTGCAAACCATTGTATGTGTTTAGAATTCTCATGGAAATGTTGCTGACATTTTGATTTAAGAATATAAGAACAGCGTTGTTGATCGTGTTCAACGAAACAACTCATTCAAAATACAAGGTTAAAACTACAATGACTATGACAACTATGATTAAATACAGCACTCAAGAGAAAGAATCCAATTCCAGAGATTAGGACAAAACACACACAAGCTTATAAAAGGAAACCCAATGGCTGAAAGAAACATAAGGAGACTCAATTATACTTCACATTAACAAAAACTTTGACATGATTAAAGAACAGATTTGATTTGATTCAGATTCATAGTAAATACATTGAGGAACCCATAAGTTGACCCATAAGAACTATTTATACTCATTGGCACAGAACTGACAGAGATGATGTTAGTTCAAAATAGCAGCATTTTGAACATCTTCTACTACATAGAAAATGTTCCCATCTTAACTAATTACTGAAAAACTTTAATTTTTTTTGTTAATAAAGGACCTGAAATTATGCAATTCACTGAAACAAATGAAAAAGAATAACAAAAGGAGTCAAATTCGTCTCTTTTTTAGAGACCCTTCTACTACATAGAAAATGTTCCCATCTTAACTAATTACTGAAAAACTTTAAATTTTTTGTTAATAAAGGACCTGAAAATATGCAATTCACTGAAACAAATGAAAAAGAATAACAAAAGGAGTCAAATTCGTCTCTTTTTTAGAGACCCAATGATGAGAAAATTATAAAGCAACTCAAATTCAACTTAATTGTCATTAGAGAACTACAACACTAATTAGAACAATAACAATGAGAACCTAGCAATAAGTAAAACTAAGATTTAGAACAAACCCAGTGTGCAGTGGAGCCACGAGCCATGGACCCATCAATTGGTTTTCGGATCGGGCAAGGGGAACAACCCGGAACTGGCACCCCTCGGAGGCGAGAAGCCTAAGAACTTCTGCAAATTTGTCCGAATGCTAATCGAGCAGAGAAAGTACAAAAACGCCATCGAACAGTCCGTCGAATCTTCCCCTTGCAACCCTCTGTGGCTCATCTTCATCACCAACCCAAAGGGTTTAAACGGTAATTTCGCCACCACCTTCCCCTCGAACAGCGAGTTGAGCAGCCCAAAGACGACGAACAGCACGAGCGCGACGACGGCGCCGGATTTGAACTTGAAGAGCGAGAGGTCGCGGCTCGATTCTTTCAAGCTCGTCTCGACCCGATCGATCTTCTTGGTCTTGGACTTCTTGGCGATTTTGATGGCCGGATCGGTCTTCATGGTCTCCAGCTTCTTCGCGGCTTTGTCAATGGAGGAGCGGAGGGACTTGTAGGAGTTGGTGCGGTAGATGAGGACCCATGAGATCGCCTCGCAGACTATGGCGGTGCAGAATGAGATGCCCACCACTGTTAGGCCGTCTGAGTACTTCAAGCTGGAGAGGAACGAGGTGGCGGCCATTGGGGAAGACGAAGAAGAAGGAAAATTTGGTGAGAAAACGCGAGAAAATTGGAGTGACTTTTGATCTGATTTGGTGGTGCTTAGATTTGTAGGTGGAGTTTTTGTATGGGCCTTAGTCTCTGAATGGGCCTGACCATGGGCCTCAAATGGGCCTTGAGCCTTTTTTACATGTCCTACTACAACTTGTAGTTGGAAACCATTTCAGAAGTGGACAAGGATAAAAACACACCCTATAAATATGCATGGTCGTGCATTGTCCCTTTCACACAAAAAAAATAATCTGAGCTTTGTTCTTCGATTCTCAATTTATTTTTTGCTCCTCTTGTTTTTTATTCGTCTGCTGAGCTGCTCTGCTTTTTCAGTCATGGCTTTGAGAAACATTGCTGCTCTGGTTTTGTTTGTGATGATGGTTTTGTGTGGTGCTTGTTCTGGTGCTGTTTATAGGGTTGGTGATTCTGATGGCTGGACTTCAAGAGGTGTTGTTGATTACAACAAGTGGGCTTCAACGAAAGATTTTCACGTCGGTGACACCCTTATTTTTGCTTACAACAATCAATTCCACAACGTGATGCAAGTTTCTGATCAAGACTTTCAATCTTGCAATGCTACGTCTGCTATCGCAACATACACCTCTGGCTCTGACACCGTCACCCTCAAAAGGCCCGGCCACTATTACTTTCTTTGTGGTGCTCCTGGCCATTGCCAAGCCGGACAAAAGGTTGACATCGAGGTCACCCTACCTGTTCCAGAAAGTATGATTCAGAGTCCAAGCCCGTCGCCTTATGGATCCTCATCAAATTCAGTCTCTCATCCTGAAGCGATGTCACCAAGCTCAACTCTAAGCAGTGCTCCAACTCTTAACTCTTCCAAGCTTGGTTTTGCTGCTACCGCTTCTGTGTTGGGTCTTTTGCGTTTTGTATTTTAGAGTAAATTAGGTTGCTTTATGTTTTGGTCCACGGATGTGGTAGGGTTAGATAATTTTTGTTGTTTATGAACTTTTATATAGTTAATTGATATGAATTCTTTTATTTCTCTTTTCTTTTATGCGGTAGGGTAACTACTTTTTTATTTCTCTTTTCTTTTATTCTCTATCTCTCTCTCTCACTCCCCGACTTCTTCTTCCTCCTTTTTTCTCTCGCGTGAATAGTAACTCAGCCATGTTTAGTGGTTTTTCTGGTGCCATCCAACCTCGATTTCCAGTGTGACCTCCACGAGAAATGTTCCTCTCTTCCTCCTCTACTTAGCCCAGTGGTTAATCGACGCCAACAACTGAGGATTTCTCCGATTTAACGAAAAATAGCTCCGGTGGTTCTTAGAGTTTTTCCGGCGATTCCGGTCACGGAATCCGTCGAATAAGGTATGGTTTTTCATCCCCTCCATGTGATCTTGCTGTTGGTAAATGTAGTTTGGATCGATTTCGCGATTGGAGAGTTCGAACTAAAACCCCCCAAGATGGCTAGCACCCCCTGTTTTTTTTACTTGTTTCTATTCCTCCTAACCTACATAAGTAATTTCTTGATCAGGTAAATAGTTCAAAATTCATACATGTAATTACTTGATCATTCAACACTTGATTCACCTTTCATAAGAAGGCTTTATAAATAACAAACCAAAGTGCCTGTTCCCTAGATTTGTTGGTTTTGTGATATAACTAAAGGTCAGCATGTCTTAGTTTCGAGCACGGGCACCGATCGGAACAAATAGAAAGAAAATTTTACACTGAATTTATTAAATTGCTGGTTGCAGAAAGAAAGAGATGGATGCTCAACATTCCAGTAGTAGCCATCCATCAAAACTTGAACATTTCAGTCACAGCCATGAATTGATGTTCAAAGAAGAACAGAAAGAGAAAAATTATGATGACGAAGTAGTTTTTTGCAATGCGTGCGAGGAGCCAGTGTTTGGCCCTAGATATAGTTGCAACACATGTGTCGACCCCAATTCCACCTTCATCCTCCATAAATCATGTGCGGAGGAGTTATCCTGCGAGATTGAGCACCCGATTCACAGGCACCAACTGAAATTCGAATGTAAAACAGAGCCTTCCGCGGTACTTTTCACTTGTAACGCCTGCCACCAACCTTGCAGATTAGCCTACGCTTGTTCCCCATGTAATCTCGCCCTTGACCTCAAATGTGCCTCCAATTGGCGCCACATTCTTGACAGGAAAAAGCCCCACGTGCATCAATTCAGCGTCCTTCGGAAAGGAAATCCATTTGATTGTGAGGTCTGTGGCACAAGTCAGGATTCACTCCCCTACCTTTGTACCATCTGCCACCTCTTGGTCGGTAAGGAATGCACACAATCACTACCACACTTCATCTTAATTATCTCGCACCAACACCCTCTCAGGCTCATCTGGTTCCTTGAAAAAGATTACCCGAATTACCAAATTTGTAAAATCTGTTATAAAAGCATGGACAGAAGTCGCGCTGTTTATCAATGTGAACTTTGTGATTACGTTGCCCACACTCTATGCTCCTATAGAGTGTGCAAAGGAACCTGCACCCATGATGACTACCAAGATTATCTGCGACCAAGGCGCAAGACTAAGCTGTTTAATATGTTTCTTGGAATGAATATACTTCGGAGACACAAATTGAAATTACGTGAGATAAATCCAAGTGAGCGAGTTGGGGAGCGGGGGCTCAAGCACATCTGTCACGATCATATCTTAACCCTCATTGATGAGCTTAGAGATAATGATGCAATTACTTGTAACGGTTGCATGAGGCCCATCACCATCAGTACCGGTAAATTTTATTGTTGTACACAAGATTGCCTTTTTTTTCTCCACAAAAGATGTGCTCGATTACGTGAAAAACAGCTTCACTCATTTCATCCACACGAGCTCCAACTCCTCGCAAAAGCTTATACATTTGACGGACTATTTAACTGTCATATGTGCCACAGCTTGAGCCAAGGCTTCTGTTTATATTGTGAAGGATGCGACATATACCTGGACCTCCAATGCATGTCTATTTCTAACCCTCTTCGTAGACTTAAGGTTCATGGACACAGCCTCGACTTGAACTTTGGTTCAAGCGAGGACCATTGCAGGGGTTGTGGTATTTGTCTTGCGGATTTGCGCTTCAGTTGCTTCAAATGCAAGTTTCATTTGTGCATTCCATGTGTTAAACTACCGCATACTGCTAGGTACAAATACCAGGATGATCATCTCAAGCTCACCTACCATTCCGTTGAAAATGAACTAGGTGAATATTACTGCGACATATGCGAAGGAGAACGAGATCCAACACATTGGTTCTACAAGTCCGAACATTGTGACTTTGAATGCCATCCTCATTGCATTCTAGGGCGGCATCCGCAAGTTAAGTTAGGGAGCAGTTACAAGCTTGATGCTCACCCACACATTGTCACTACTGTTGATAAGAGAAAGAGTGTCATTCCTTTTGATAAGAGAGAGAGCATTCTTCCTTGCCACGGCTGTGGTGAACCTTGCGAAGGATTGGTGTTTGAATGTTGTGTGTGTAATAAAGATTATCACCGAAAAGAAACTTGTTTGAGTCACTACAACACAAGTGCTGGGGTTGCACGTCCGTGCTAAGACGACAAGCACAAAAGGAATCTATTTGTGGCCAATGGATCGCACAAAAGGAATCTATTTGTGATTGTGGCCGATATTAAATTAATATTGATATCCACTTCCGTACTTGTAAGCTGTAACCTCAAGGAATAAATGTAAGTTGTAATAACTTTGCCCTCTCTGTTTTGGTCCTTTGGTTTGGTCACACTAACTACAAGAAAAAAGGTCAGTAGTGACCAATTTCCTTGTGACCACATGAATAATGGTCACAAATATAGTAAATTTAATGACTAATAATAATACATGGTCACTAAAATAATTTATCCCTATTTTTTAATTTTTAATGACCAAATTTTCTGACCATTATTTAAATTAGTCACTAAAAACAACTTAAGTTATATAGTTAGTGACGAACGCATATGCCAAGATAGCCTTACTTTTCTCATTTAATACATCAGTGACCAATTAACTTTTTTTTATTTTTATTTTTTCAAAACGTGCTCGCGTGGGGTGTACCGCATCAAAAGGAAAACAAAAAAGACGAAACAAGTCGAGCGAAATCCGAACGAGACCAGCGCGAGCTCAGAGTGAGAGAGACGCGAGCGAGAGACCAGCGCGAGCGAGACCATCTTCTTCATCGAGCGAGCGTCCTCTTTGTGGTCCTTTTCGTCTCTGTGGTTTCGATTTCTAGGTTTTCTCCCAATATCATGTGAGCTTTCTATTTCTCTTTGGTTTCAATGTAAGTTTTGATTTCATTTGAGTTTGATTTGAGTGCGATTGTGACTCTGATTCTGATTCTCTATTCTCTATTCCCTAATTCCCTAATTCTCTATTCACTGTGATTTTGAGTTCGATAACAATTTTCCTAACTATGATTTTGATTTCTCTTTGAATTTCGATTCTGAGGTGTGTTTCCAAAAAGCTTGATGCCCTAACTTCCTAATCTGTGTTGCAGAAGTTTTGATTTTGAGAAACGACCTTGAGGCTAGTGAGATCTTTTCTGAAATCAACTTTTGAGACTATCAGCTTCTCTGGTAAGAAATCTTCGATCTCTAGCTATTTGATTCCTAATTGGTTTTCATCTTCGTTCTTGCTTTTTCTTTACTCTTATTCCTATTGTTTTGTGTTCTACTTGATTGTAATCTGAAATGCTATTGGGGTTTGTAGATTTTAAATGCATACCAAGTCCATTAGCCTCAAAGGTCCTCATGATATGAAGCCTTTTCACGGAGCTGATGAACATCCTATATACCATAGAAATAGTGAACATACTGTCAGCATTATTTACTAGAAAGTAACAGAAAAAGGAAACTCCGGGAATGTCAAATTAGATGTTACTAAGCACATTGCTCTCGTTATTTTTTTAGGTTCACCATCCCATTTTCTTTTTAACAAAACTCATAATTAGAGGTGGAAGCATACCCCCAAGGAACATCTCCTACAAGCATCCAATCTCCTTCTTTATCTTCATAAGTGAGTACAAACTCAGAGGATCCATCCAGAAGCTTAGAGGGTTTGGTTGTTTGTTCCTTGTCTCCACCTGATATGAGCAGAAAGCCATAGTCATACAATGGTAGTAACATCACATACACAATGCATCAAAAATGACCAATTGATGATCATAAAATGAACCAAAACAAAGAGCCTCCATTCTTTTGAGTTAAAGTCCTCGTTTCGATTGTGCCTATAGGAATTAATAAAGCTTAGAAATTTGTGTTGTATGAAATTTTGTGAAGGATGGTTTTCTCTGTGTGAGCTATTTTAAGAAAATTCTGTTCAGTTACTATTGTAGCTGCAGAAGTAATCTTACTCGAGGAAGGAAACTAAAATGAAAATCTGCATTTTTACAGGTGGATGGAAGTGATGGCTCCTGTTTTCTCGAGAGCTGCCTGGCGCTGTGTATGGCATATGATCCAGGTTTGTTATTTCTACTGTCCTGAAACTTCAAGATAGCTTTTCTATTGGCCTTAGAACATAAAGCACAACAAATTAGCCGAACTAATATGAGTCTCATATTTTAGTCAGGTGTATGGTGTTAAGTTGTCAATGTAATTGATCAGAAATTTTTTAAGTTGTTAGAAGATATACCTAATACTCTGTAAATCAAGCTTGATTCATCACACATTCACTCTCCCTTTCATGTATAGGATCACAGAAACAACAAATCTAAATTACATTGAAATGGTGTTAATTGTGATTTGATCTTTGCAGAATGACTTGATTCATGCATGGGGTGGATATGCAGCTTGGCTATTGTGCACAGGCAAGCTTCTCAGTTTACTGGTTATGTCATTTTTTTTATGCTTTCTTTTCTAAGGATTTCCTTAACGCTTCCTAAAGAGGACTTTCTGGTTTTGATATTTAAATAGGGCGATCGAACTAAAAATGTTGGTGTTGTGGATGTTGAGTACATAATCCATTATGGTCGCCCTACATTGGGAGGCTCAGATGAAAATGAGGTGAGAAAATGTTTGCTGTCTTTGTGGTGCAAATTCCCAGTCTGTTTGAGGCTGACTAGTTAATGTGTTATTAGTATTTTGCAGGACCAGAGTTGATGTAAGTCTTGACATGTAATTTGTTCAGTTTATTAGGATTTTACTTGGATTAAAATTGTTTGTTGTGTATTTGTGTGTAGGTGAGGAGAGAATCGTACAACAAAATGAAGGTGTTCAAAA